AGAGAGAGAGAGAACTGGGGGCACCATATGACCCAGCAATTGTACTCTTATTTATCCCAGAGAGATAAAAACTTATGTCCACCCAAAGCTCTGTTCACAGCAGCTTTATTTGTAATAGCCAAAAACTAGAATCAGCCCTGATGCCCTTCACCAGGGGACTGGTAAACTGTGGTCCATCCACACCCATGGAATACTTCTCAGTCATAAAAAGGAACTCCCGACATGCATGCAACAGCATTTTTGAAATGACAAAATTTAAGAAACGGGGGACAGATTCGTGGTTAGCAGGGGTAAGGGTGGGGGGGTGGGAGGGAGACAGGTGTGGTGATAAAAGGACAGCAGGAAGGATCCCACCGTGTCGGAACTGTCCAGCATCTTGCTTGTGGTGGAAACAGGAACCGCAAGGGCGTTAAGACTGTACAGAACTTACAAAACACACGCGCGTACAAGTGAAACTGGGGCAACCTGAATGGGAGCAATGGGTCCCATCAATGTCGCCCTCCGGGCTCTGACACTATCCTGTGCTTTTGCAAAACGTTACTATTGGGGGAAACTGGGAGAAGGGTATAAGGGATCTGTATTATTTCCAACATCTGCACGTAATCCACAGTCACCTCAGTTTAAAAGAGATCATGTTTTTAAAAACAAAAATAAAGAACAAAGTTATTACAAGCTCACTTCTATAAAATGAAACCACACACAAAAACAAAAGTATATTTTTATGTGCGTATCTGTTACATGTGTGTAACTACGTGAGTGCATAGGAAACAAGTTATGTATGTAGGAAGAGCCCCAAGCTTTCTAGCATATTCATTCTGGGGAGGAGGGGTCTGTACCTACCATGTAATCAGCAAGCACTACCATATACAGACACACACAAAAGAAAACCAAAGGAACTCAGGTCCAGGATGAAGCAATCTATCCGAAGTTACAAGTAAGTGACCGAGCAAGAAGTCAAAGCTCACACGACCCTTCCACAATCCCGTATCGTCTCTGACATGTGGGCGACCCGACTGCCATAAAATGACAACAGAAGAAAACAAATCACTCCTACGGGGGCTGTGAGGTTTTCAATTTTCTGGAAGCCCTTTGTAACAGAAACCCAAATGGTTTAAATAATGGCATTTGAAGTGGGGAGAAATGACAGCATAATACATACAGCACGGTATCAAGTGTTGGAAAAAAAATCACCCATAAAACAAGTGTTTCTACATGTATACGTGTAAGTACGCACATGCACAGACCCTGGAGAACATGTACCATCTGTGAGGATCAAGGGGAAAGAAGAGTAGTGGTCAAGGGGTATTGGGGCTTCAATCACAGTGTTAGAATTTGAGAATGCATTCCAATTCAAGTATAATTTGTCTATTTTCTTTTTAAGAAGGGGGAAAAATAAAGCAAACACTTACTGCATTCATAGATCTGTTCCAGCTTATCCACAGAAGAAAGGGAGAAAAATTTATAACCGGACTTACTACCAACAGCTAGGGACCTGCAAAAAAGCCAAATCAGAAGTAAGAGCTGATATGTATAGACAGTGATAATGCACAAACTAGCTCCATGTTACCATCATCTCTACCAAAGATTAGCACAAATAATTTCACATAGTTTGTAGCAGGCGAGTGGTGGCTAAGCAGAAAACGGGAAAGTGGCAGAGCAAGATGCCCCACCTCGCAGCCAGGAAAGGGTGAAGGCCAATAAAATACAGACAATATTTAAAACCTACAAAACCTTAAAGATAAATTTGACAAATAAACGGAAGTAATCGGCCCTATTGACCCCCTCAGAACAAAGTGGGGTTTCTCAGGTGATCTGATCTATGTGAGAGTCCAAAAGCTAAATTAGCCGGCACTCCAAACTTTAAACAAAGACATTTACAGCCTAGTGGATGACGACACCCTTCTGCCTTTCCGCGAGGCCACAGCCATGCAGCTCAATCACCCATGTTACACTCTGGCCGGGCAGTGGGGTGGTAATAAAATGGAGCAAAAAGCTATCTTCGAATCTGTACACAGCTGACCTACAAAGAAAAGGTGAAGCCACTCACACCCAACTCAGCACCGTGGCGTTTGCTAAGAGGCCTGAAGGGACCTTGCAGGCTCTCCAGGCCCTCAGCACGGGGGCCGTGGGACACGAATGAAGTGTTCCTCATCAGACGATCACTACTCTCTGGAACGTGACTGACCACAGGAAAAAACAGAAGAAAGCACAGCTTTGAGAAACAGAAGATGAGCCAATAAAGCAGGAAGCGTGGGACATGCGAGGAAGCAGCTACTGGGACTGTTGTGGATTCAATGTCTGGGAGGACATGGAAACAAGCGGAGGCAGAAGACAAACCAGAAGACTAGACCAGGAGTATCTGCACACCAGGATAAAAACTAGGGCCCCAGACTCTAATGGTCATTACATCTATTAAAAACTTGAGCTTTCCAACCTCTCTTTCACCCATATGCAGAAGAAATATATTCTAAGAACGGAGCTGCTATAAGCACTATTAAATTTTTAAGCTGTAATTGGTTCATCTTAGATGTATAAACAGAAACAAAACTCTTCCTACCAGCCCCTTTTTGGGGGCAAAAATACTTCACTATACTGAATTAATTATGTCAATGAAGTAATTAGGTACTGTTATCTGTAAATATTTTGAAAAACAATAAAGGAGCCAATAAAAATAGAAGAATATCCAGGAAAGCTAAAAATAAGACAAAATCTCAGCAATCTACACCTTTTGGGAAGCTGGTGTTCGGGAAAATGTTTTCCAGATAACCAATGGTTGCTATTTGCTATTTTAAGCACCAATACCTTTTCCCCCGCCATTTCTGATTAGAAAATGAAAAAGTCATTCTTGTATTATATGCTTTCCTGTGTTTCTATCACAAGGGGATGGGAAATTCTTAACATTTTCCTGGACTCCCATCATTAAACTTACCCTACTATTACAATACAGTGACCCTCTCAGACACTAACAAGGAGTTGAGGGTTTTGTGTACTGACCTCAGATGGCCAGATTGTAGTGCTGAGTTTCTAAATACATTTTCCACCTTTTGTTTTGCCGACAGGTGTCACTTCTTTGTGACCCTCCCCCCATCATTAACAGCCCCTCTCCCATTCTAAACTTCTTGTTGACTTAGGAACCAAATTACCAAACTTATTGGCCTTATATATAAAACAAACTTAGAGAGGGCTTCTTCCATGGGCAAAGTTAATGAGTTTAACTAGTTAATGAGAACCTGGATTTTGATGCTGTGCTCCTAACAGGAGAATCTGTCAAAACTGGGCTTAGGTGATCAAACATCAGAACTTTGATGTTCTTACAGAACATCAAAACCGAAACTGGTTTAGGGTATTAAACAACTTAGCTAGAATTTTAATTGCACGGTTTTTAAAACCTCAATCAGCAAGAAATGTAAGCAAAAATATTTCATTTATTTTGACAGGTATTATGGTATAATATGAATATATACTTTATCAATAAAAGTAGGTGTTTTTAAAGGGTGGTAACACCAGCAATGAGGTTCATACATCTCTCTTTGAGGACTGATCCTGCTTTTAATAATTTCTCATGATTTGCCTAACCATACAATGGCAGACATATTAATGGGAGAGGCAGAGTAACAGATAAGTTTGAGATTCCCTTATTAAATAATGTTATTCCCCAATAAATGTTTGTGTAGTTTTTTTTAAGGTAACACAGTGAGATCTTTTATTGACAAAAGGAAAACCCAGCTCACTATAATAAAGGACAGATTTACTCAAGCCTACTTCCCTACTATACCGCTGCCTTCCGCTGCGCCTGCTGTCAAAATCCAGAGACCCTGTTATATACCCTGGAGACAAAGTCCAAGTCCTTGGCCAGGATGGGAGAGGGAGTGCTTCTGGAACAAGCTTTGGGCCAATCCTCTTCATTTTCATCCCGTCCCCCTTTATTCGACTGCCAGTCCTGAGCCTTCTGGGGATTCTGCAGTTTAAACTAGGCTGGCTCTCTGCTTTCTCCACTAGAGACTCGGGATCCACTTTCCTGTACTCCTTGCTAGCTTCCAAAATGTTGCTGCCAGTGACTCCTTCCTTATTCTCCCTATCCAATGGGTTTCAACATTTTACAGTATCTTCTGGTATTTTATTGGTTGACAGGAGGGTTTTGGGAGGGGCTAAAACAAACATTTGGGTCTGACCCACCGTCTCTGACTGCAAGCCTGACGCGGAATTAAACTTGACTGTTCAGTATCTAAAAGACAGGGATTCCCACTAAAACAACAACCAAAAAAACCCTCAAATGTGAATCAGATCTTTTTCTTAACTCCTTTTTCTTTTCTCTGCCTTCTTATCAATAATTAGTCCCGAAAGGCTTTCCCTTTCCATTATCTTCTTACTTGATTACAGGGTTAAGCGGCATCGGTCCACACCCATAAAAAGGAAACAATGGGAACTGCCGAGACCTGGTAGACCCTGGGGCTCTAGCTAGTAAGCTCAAGGCCCCAGCAGGCCCTTTCCCTTGGCTCACAGCATTTCAGCCCTGGGTCTCCACCTACAGCCTCGAAAACTCCACAGGAGCCAAAGCAAGATTTCATCCTTTGCCTCCAAACCGAATCCTTCCCTAATCTTTTCCCCATAATGCAATCACTGTTCACTCTGAACCCAAACTAGAGATTTGGGAGTAACCTTAACTTTCCCGCAACACTTCTGGCCCACGGGTCACACCAAGTCCCGATGGCTGACCAGTCTGCTCTCCACAGGCCACTGCTGTTGGACAATATCCTCCTGGGTGACTGTCCTGCCCTCCTCCAACACGCCCTCTACCCAGCAGGCAGAATGACCTAAAACTTTAAGGTTGAGGGATCCTTAAAACCCATCCACAATCAAGCCTCTCAATTTACTGATGAGGAGAAAGTGGAGAGAAGTGACCTTCCCAAAATAATATCTGTAACCTAGAAGAATCTGTTAAACAAGCGTCTCCATAACTTTTCTGGACACTAACAACATCAATGCTACAAATGGAAGACTTGGAAAATCAAGTCCCTCTCTTTTGTCTACCCCTTTTGGAGATGTATTTTAAAACAGACATTGCCAAATCACAGGCTTCCCACAAGCTGAGCGACATCCAGTGGAGGACTTCAGTCCTTGACATTTTCATTTAAGCGATACTCTACCACTTATTAGTTTGTTAACTTCAATTTCAAAAGCCAAAAATTCCTCCAAAATAAACCTTCCAAACTGTTACTTTCAGAAACTAGGATTGGAACTAGCCACTCAGTAGGTGACTGAGATCAGCTGTTCCTGGTGCCTCTTTCACTGCTCTTGCTTAAAAAAAAAAGAAAAGAAAAGAAAAGAAATCAAACAAATGGTAGAAAACAAAACTTAGTCATGCTTTCAGGGAAAGAATCCTAGAAAAATGAGGACAATATTTGAAGCCACATTGCCAGGACAAAAAGGCAGGACAGATACAGCCTGCCAAGGAATATTCTTTAAGCATTCCTGTGTAACATACACATATTCTATTAAGTGAAATGGCTTCCAGATTTTCTCACTCAAGACAGTGAATGTGGATCCCAGACCAATAACCTTTGTCTTGTGAAAAACTGTGTTCCTCTATAAAGAGTTTCTGGAGACAGGTAAGGGAGGCAAAGGGGTAAATTGTGCAGCCTTTCCTCAGGAGCTCATGTATTTAAGACAAATTACAGTCATTTTAATTGATAAACTTCCAGTATAAACCTAACTTACTCTTTCTTAACAGTTTATGTTCATACTATATCAAGGTCTCTGGCAAGTCCAAATTATGACACAGAAATCTCTTGAACTTCAGGACCCACTGAGGAGCGGGGAAGCACATGATTTCCAAGCATGAAAAGGTCTAATTTCAAGCCAGGTTGATATATTCTATTATATATGGAATTTGGTAGCCCATTTGAAATAACAGCAAAAGAGAACACATTGTCATATTTCAATATAAATAATGGGTAGTTAGAAACTGGGAAAAAAAAAAGGTAGAAAATGTTTTGAAAATTCTCTAATTTATACAAGACATAAAAATAACCACAAAGCTATCATTTCTTACCAATCTCAAAATACTAAGGGCTTAAAAACCAAATCACAGATGGTTTGAAACGCTCTATTCGCTTCTTGGATGAATATAATATAGTCTATCCCAATTACAACCACGTGCAACAGGTTGTCCAAGATGTTTCTGTTGTACTGGTTTTTGGTCACACAGTATGCTTATGTATGTGGTAGTTTTAATCTTTAAAGACTGCTACAGTACGATTTCTAAATTCGCTGTCCTCAAAATCCTACCTTTTAGGTAGAAAAGACAGTGGGGCAGGGTGGGAAGATCACTGGAAGAGAAGTCAGTCCTGTCCTCACTCCACTATTGGCCACCTGGAATATCCAGGTGCAGCTCTGGACCTTTGTGAACTTCAGGTTCCTCATCTGCTGTTGGAGCAGGAGATGGGCTTCCTTCCCACCCTCTGTGCGGTCCCCCTGCCGGACCATCTGCACTAACCTCACGATTCTGGGGAGGCCCTGCTGAGCACCTGCTGCTTGCTGTTCCACAATTAACTTTTCATTAAAAAAAAAAAGTTTCTTCTACTTTGCTGATTCCATTCAGCCAGTAACAACTCAACCAACAATACTTACTATGAAGCCAATGACCCATTCCTCCTCACTTACATCACTTCCTCTTACTCACTTCCCAAGATGGCTCTCCTCCCTTCCAGTTCCAGAACTCCTTCCTTCCTTCCCCAGAAACTTCATCTATTAACTATCCTCACAGATCACCCAGACAGCCTCTGAAGAATCAGCTTCAAACCCACATGGGTTTGGACAAACAGCGTTCCAAATCCACGGGTCGGCATCAGTGGCCTCTCTTCCCCTAAGGATGGCCCCAGACTCCTCAGGTCCCCCTTGGCTCAGTTTCTCCCCAGATCAGAGGCCAGGATTATTGCTAAATCTGTTTCTTGCTCGGGCAGAACATCAAAGCTACCTAAAAAAAGAACAGGGAGACAAGAAGAAAAGGAAAGGAAAGAAGGGAATGAGGCCCTAAGATGAGGAGGAGACTAGAAGGGCCTGAAGAGGGGAAAGGGTGGAGGGAGAGGGCTGACGAAGAAGGGGAGGTGGGATACAAGGAAGAAACGCACTCTCGCCGCTCCGGAAGCGGCTGAGACAACAGGTCAAGGCACAAAGTTCTGCCCCAACTTCGTGAGAAGAGAGGCCCCAAAAGGTAAAGCAACCTTTCGGCGAGTGGGTGAAACGCCTCCCTACCTCCCTCACTTTCCCCGCTCAGAGATCGCAGCTCCAGCGCAGCGCCCGGAGGGTCCGTGAGGAGAGCGCCCCTCCCTCCACGCTCCGGGCCCGCCCCCCGAGGGCGCCCCCGCCCGCCCCGGCCTCCACCCGAACGTCCAGGCCCCGGCGTCGGGCTCCCGCCCGCCCCGGCCCCGGGCCTTGGCCCTCGGCCCCCGGCCCCGGACCCCCGATCCCCGCCCGGCCTTACGTGTTGTCCTGGTTGAAGTTGGCGAAGAGCAGCTGGCCGGCGCCGGCCTCGCCGCTCTGACTCGCCAGGTTCATGATGAGCGCGCGTCGGGAGGGCCCGGCCGGGGGCTCGCGCGCGGGGGGGCGTGTCGGGTGCGCTCAGGGTCGGCGCCGGGCCCCGCTCGCAGCCTCGCTGGCCGCAGCTGGCTGCCCGGGGATCAACCGCCGCCTCATCCCGTGCCCGCTCTTGTTTATGCTCCGGAGCCGGGGAACCCTGCGCGCTTGCGCGGCCCCGCCTCCTCGGGGCACGGCCTCCCCACGGCGCAAGCGTATTGCGGAGGTCCCGCCCCTTCACCTCTGGCCCGGACCTGGGGTTCTGGTCGAACACGCGCACGCGTGGGGACGCGCGGGGGCGCGCCGGGCAGGGCTTGCTGACGGACCGAGGGCGGCGCATGCGCATGGAAAAGAGTAGGCGCTCGGTACACTCCATCATTTTATCAGTATTAAAAGGGCCCGCCGTGTGCCTGTCAGTCGATGCGCTAAATATTTATGTACAGCATCCCTACTTAGAGAATATCGCATTCCCATTTTACAGATTTAAAAACTGAGGCTCAGAAATACTAACGTATTAGCCGAGTGTTGGATCTGAGAACTGAAACCCCTTTCTTTCCCGAGAACTGAAACCCCTTTCTTTCCCCAAGGCCCACGCGGAGGAGTCCACCTTACATTTATTCATACATTCAATAATATTTAGGAAGTACCTTCCATGTGAACTAAATAGGCCTCCTTTCCCTTAGAGAAGTTACAGTGGGGGAGATACTTAAACACAATTACAAGTCGGGGTACAAGAGAGCATATAATGAGGTCACTCAACCTAAACTTAAGAGACAGGGACTGTGCAGTCAGAGAAGGCTTCCTGGAGGAGGGGAGACCTGAAATTTGAACGGTAGGTAACCACCCCAAGGAGATGGAAGCATTCTGTATTGCAAAGGTCCACAGATAAGAGCGTGTCCCGGGAATGCTCTGCTCAGTGTGTCTGAGCTCTGAGTGGGACAATGAACACGAGACAGATTTGACTTGTGAAATCGGAGGTGGCTAAATCAAGCTGGATGTTGTTAAGCTACATTAAGCAAGAGACTGAACATTAGCCCAAGAACAATGGGCTACCACTGAAAATACTTAGCCAGGAGAATGGCACAATCAAATTTGTGGGTAGGGAAGTTAATTCTAGCCACAGAGTCAAAAGTGCATTGAAAATCGTTGAGGAAAGAAGGGTCTTTTCTCATGGCTCTCCTCACACCAAACTCAAAAACTAGTTTGAGATGGATTGTAGACATAAATGTGAATGGTAAAACAATAAGCCTTCTAGAAGAAAACATGAGAGAATGCCTTCATGACTTCGGGGTAAATAAAGTAAGTATTCTAAACAAGTACTTTAAAAAGTACTAACCAGGGGTGTCTGAGTGGCTCAGTTGGTTAGGTGTCTGCCTTCAGCTCAGGTCATGGTCCTAGGGTCCTGGGACTGAGCCCCGCATCAGGGAGCCTGCTTTTCCTTTTCCCTCTGCTGCTCACCCTTCTTGTGCTCTTGCTCTCTCTCTCAAATAAATAAATAAAATCTTAAGGGAAAAAAAGTACTAACCACAACATAAAACATTAATCTTCATCAAAATTAAGGACAACTGCTCATCAAGAGACCATCAAGAGACGTTGAGAAGGCAAGCCTCAGAATGGGGTACATATACTTGCAATACATGTATTTGCAATGCATATTTTGACAAAGGACGTCTTTCCAGAATGTTAAAAGAATTTCTACAAATCAGTAAGGAAAATACCAACTCATTTTTTTACTGGGCAAAATACTTGAGCACAGGCACTTCACAAAATAGCAAAATGGCTAATGAGCACCTGAGAAGGTGATCATCATTAATATTCATCAAAGAAATGCAAATTAAAAGCAAATAAGATACCACAAGCATCTACCTGTTAAAATCAAATAGAAACAGAAACTGGACTAGGGCACCTGGGTGGCTCGGTTGGTTAAGCGTCTGCCTTTGACTCAGGTCATGATCTCAGGGTCCTGGGGTCAAGTTCTGCATTGGGCTCCCTGCTTAGTGGGGAGTCTGCTTCTCCCTTTGCCCCTCCCCCTGCTCATTCTCTCTCTCTCTCTCTCTCTCGCAAATAAATAAATAAAATCTTAAAAAAAAAAAAAAGAAACAGAGACCAGACTTGAAAATACCCTGAGTAGACAAAACCAGTTTAGTCTGGCAAGCAAAGCTGAATTTAGCTTATTTTGCAAGACAAGCAAGGCTAAATCGACCTGGGTCACTTCTTGCTGGTGCCTCTGAAAATCATAAGTGAAACAAAGTAGTTCCCCCAAATTGATAGGAGGTAACTGCTAACCAATTCCCGTGCATTTAAGAAAATTCTAATATCATAACCAATCATTGTAAAGAGTAAATAGTCACTATAGAAGCTGCTGCATAAAGATATACCTCTGAGCCTCCCTCCCTGTTCTGGTTTGAGTGCTCCTCGTTTGCAAACTGTCTCTTTGATGTGTATACAATAAACTTTTTCTAATTATTACTTCAGTGATTTGTTGATTTTCGTTTTTTATTCTGAACTTTTGACATCCCCTATTGGCTAAAATTAAGATAACTGGCAACCCAAATTGTAGACGGTAACTGTGGGGCAACTTGAACTCTCATACACTGTGAGTACAAGTCTAAATTCTTAGAATCAGGGCGCCTGACTGGCTCAGTCGGTAGGGCGTGCGACTCTGGATCTCAGGGTTCTGAGTTTGAGCCCCACATTGGGCATAGAGAATACAGATGACTTAAATATAAAACCTTTAAAAAAATAAATTGCTAGAATCACTTTGGAAAACTTTTGACAGTATTTACTCAAGTTAAGCATACATATTCCCTATGATTCAGCCATTTCACTTCTAGGCATATCCTTAATAGTAATTAGTGCATATTTCCCTCCAAAAGACAGGTATAGGAACACTCCTACCTGCTTTTTCTTAATAATCCAAAACTGGAAATAACCCAAATGTTCATCTACAACAGAATGAATAAGCAAATTTTGGTACATTCATACAAAAGAATACTACAGAGCAGTTAAAAGGCCATACACACATGAATGAATACAATATTGAGTGAAAAGATACAAAAGAACATAATACTGTATGAGTCCATCTACATGAAGTGAAAAATAGGCAGAGTCGTGGTTCCCTCTGGTGGGGGATTGGTTGGGAGGGGGTCAGGAGGGAGCCAGCTGGAGTGTGGGAACTGTCCTGTGTCCTGATTTTAGTAGTTGGGCATATACATATGTAAATGTATAAATATACATATGTGGATGCCCATAGAGTCCATCTCCAATCACTGAAGTCAAGGTGTAGCCCAGGAGCAATGTCTTTAGTGGTTCCGTCTTTATCAGTTGGCAGTTTCCTGTGGGCCATAAAGAGGTGTCTGAATAAATCCCCTGGGTTCTAGACACAGTCCTTCACTTCATTTTGAAAAGCCACCCAATTTCCTCTCATTCATCAGAATCTATTGTTTCATCCAGGACAATAACTTCTTCTCTCTCTCCATTGGTTCAGCCAATGAAGATCTCCAAATGGCAGGGGTTAGACTCCGTTTCCAATTTACCAGAACCATGACTCTGTTCCCTGGAGTAATAGGGGTCCTTTTGCTACTAGAATCTCAAAATCCAGTGAACTCAGGGCTGTGTGGATGGAAACAAAAAATTTTTCCGTGGATTATTAGTTGTAATCTGCAAGGAAACACTACCACCTCTACTCCCAGTTGATGGCATGTCCTGAATATTGTAGAATGACATCTCAACCTCACAGGGTGTGGCCACAGCTAAACCTTCAGGAAGCCATTCCACCATCTATGTGAACACCAGGATAACACTTTTAAAAATGGTAATGTCCAAAGCTGAGAGCTTGACCTGTGTGTGACTCAGAAACACAAACTCATGTCCCAGCTCACCTGGGGACGGCATGAGCTGACATTCCTGATGACAGGTAGAGCAGGAAAGGTGCTTGAGACCTTCTATCATCACTTCAGGAGCCCTCCAGCTAACTAGCCTGATGCCAATCCCATGAAGAAGAGCTTCCCTTCCTCCTTTCAACTGTGGAGCAGAACCATCACCTGTTGGTGCTTAAAACATTCCTCAAGTATCCTTCCTGTGTGCCACATTCAGAGATGAACAATCCTCCCACAGGCGAGTTTCTAAATAAACCTGTGGGTTGAAGAGCTGGCAGAGAGGAGGGAACCGAGGACTGAGTGAAAGGGTGATGGAGGGCACCTTGCAGGAGGTGAGGCAGTGAGAGGGAGATCAGGGCAAGCACACCACTGAAATTGGACAGACATTCTGAGGTTCAAATCCGGGTTCAGGTTCTCTTGAGGTGTGTCTCCTTAAGTAAGTCACACAATCTCTCTGCGTATCTGTTTCCTCAACAATAACAAGGGCTAGAATAATTCTCTTGGGAGAGCTATGGAGATTGGATGCACGAATGGAGCCATCCCTCTGTGAAAGCAAAGAGAACACTGGCAAAAATGATCCAAATCCGCTTCTTCGGAACTCTGGAGATGAAGTAAAGGATTGCAACATTCTAAGAAGCATTTATACAAGCAAAACAGCGGAATCTCTGTAAAAGCAGTGAGATCCGTGGCATTTTTAGTTTTCCCTAATTCTACCTCTCCCTCCAAGCTCCCTGGTAGCCTTGACGGTGACAGGCGTAAAAAAAGCAGCCTTGGTGGCGCCTGGGTGGCTCAGTCGTTAGGCGTCTGCCTTCGGCTCAGGTCATGATCCCAGGGTCCTGGGATCAAGCCCTGCATCGGGCTCCCTGCTCCGCGGGAAGCCTGCTTCTCCCTCTCCCGCTCCCCCTGCTTGTGTTCCCTCTCTTGCTGTGTCTCTCTCGGTCAAATAAATAAACAAAATCTTAAAAAAAAACAACAAGCAGCCTAGCAGTCACTGGAGGCGGCGGAAAGGGCTTGGAGCTCCCCAAAAGCCCCATCCCCAGAGAATGGTCACCGTTTGACCTGCTTGGTCCAGTTTTTGCAGAATAGCTCCATTTTGAAGCGTGTCTTTATTTGATCCAAGAGTTTGCCAGTTCATCATGTGGATGAAGTTCCCTTTCTATTCCTAGTTAGTTGAGTTTTATCTTAAAATGTGGTTGGATTTTGTCAAAAGCATTTCTGCATCTATAGGAGGATCACGTTTGTAATTTGCTTATTTGTTTGGTGACTTGGTCGGACTGATTCTG